GGATGAGTTTGTTGATACAGGCCATATGGCGGTGTGCAGATTTCATACAACTTGCAAAAAAATAAGGTTTTTACGGAATTTTGCAAAGCACAATATTGGTTGGGGGTGTATCATGTTGTTATCCCCGAGCCGGTGCTAAGCCCACCTTCGGAGTGTCTGCCGATGAGGTCAGCACGATCCGGAGGGGCCAGGTTTCGAATTCCCTCAATTCATTTAGTTATTTGTGATGACCAACTTGTCTTGTTCTTGTTCGCAAAAAGGCGAGCAATGAGTGTGGGGATTGTCCTTGGACTACCGACTAACGCAATCTCTCCATATTTTTTGAGCGACAACTTGTTCTTGGGTTAGATCATCTCGTGCTTTTACTCGAGAGTGCTGCAAGAGTTAAATGGGTGCGGAAGAGAGCCTGCCTTCTCCGTCTCGTGTTGGCCATCCTACTTCCCATCGAAATGGATATACATTCAGCTTGTTTGAAAAGATTGCCATTATCTTAACCTACAGAGTTACCATCACATCTCTCCAGCGCTTCTAGTGTGGCTTTGCTAATTTCTCGCCCACTTGGCGCCAACATTCGTCCGTACAGATTGAGCCTCCGAAGGAAGAACATCTCCTTTCCCGTATTCGGCAATTCCAACCGCAAGCATAAACACCTATGGCAACATCCAGTAGCACTCTCACGGTTCTAATAACTCTCATGCCTCCACGGGCATGTTGAATACCAAGTTAGAGCCTAGAATATATGAAGGCGTAGACGACAAACTGGATCACTTGCAATGGACAAAAGCTACATATTCCGTCTGACTAGAAGCAGAGCTTCGGATATTTCATACTCGTCTGTTTCGCTGGATGGAGATTTTCCCAATCCAAGCCAATCCATCTACCCAGGACTTGCAGCCTCTGTCAAGATTCTTGTTGCGCAACTGATACTATACTTTTGATTCTGCATGGACTGGTTCTGCCGGATCCTTGCTCGTCAGGTTGTCGATAGGATCATCGGCACCTGGAAGTTGCCCCATCGGCGTTTGAACATGATTAGTCAGGTATTTGGTAGAGTCCTCCACAAAGAGCGCAGCCACCAACGCTATGATGCCGAAGGGAATTGTGCAGTAGAAAACAATCTTGTATGAGTGACCGTAAGCCAGTCGAACACCAGACCGAAGACTCCGCACAATGGCAGGGGTCAGGTCGGGAAATTGGCTTAGGATGTTGGGAGCCGCGCCAGCATTGTACTGGATGAGTGCAGGGATCAAAGTTGGTAGCTCAGTGGGCGAAATCTTCGCGGCCACAGCAACGTCCACAATCTCGGTCCCTGAGTAGGTTTTGAATGAATTATTCAAAATCGTGACAAATACAGCGTTGCCCACTGCACCTCCAGTTGCACGGAAGGTGCCCAGCAGCCCCATGGCAACCCCCAGCTTCGAATGAGGCACATGCAAGCTGGCGATTGAGTAAGATAAAATGGTAATCCAGGCAAACATAGGAATGCCCAATACCGGCAGGATGATCCAGGAAGTTTGGTTATTTGGATAAACGGCACCCGCGATGGCAGCGACGAAGGCGCATTGCATGATTAGGGCAAAAACCAGCTGGTATTTGATGTAGCCGATCTTATGAGCAAGAGCAGGGACCAAGACGCCCATAATCTGGTTCATGATGTTGGTAGGAAGTGACATCAGCCCCACTGTAGTCGGATTCGTCGTAAATATGGTGAATGAGCCCTGAGGAAGGAGAGATGACATGGAGTAGAAATTCATTCCAGAGACAAAAAGAACGACGAGTAGGACTGTATACTGGCGGAATTGGGCAAGTAGGCTGAGAGGGAACATTGGGTTTCTGACCTTCGACTCGTACAGGAATAGAGCAACCAAGATTACGAACCCAAGAACGATGGGGAGAATTGTAGACACACTCTTCCAGGGATGTGCGGTGGAACCACCCCAGGTGACGCCAATTAGGAATATGGTGAGTCCGGCCACGAAAAGGAGGAATCCGACGAAATCTATTCCTTTGACTAATTCCCACTTGGATTTATCGAAGTCGCCCCGGGGTCGAGATGTTGGCCGATAAAACCAAGCGGTTCCCGCCATTGAGATAACCTCAATGATGATGCCAATGTAGAAGATCCAGCGCCAACTTGCGTTCTCGTAGAGAGTGTTACCGATGAGAGCGGCTGCTAGGCCCCTGTAATTGAGAACATGGTCAGTTGTGATGGGTTTCAACAAGTTACACGGCTCTTCCTACCAAGGGGTACCAAGTCCGAATTCAAGAATACCAAGACCTAGCGACCTCCACTTATTTGGGAGCATCTCCGGTACGCCGGCGTACGATACAAACAAAAACCCAGTACCGAAACCGATTAGAGCTTCTCCCACAATCAGGGAATTGGCACGCTGGGCAGAGGCCGCGACGACACAGCCAATAGTTACCAGGAATTGGCCGAATAGAATGGGAGTCTTTCGACCGAAGATATCACTGAGTGGCCCAGCAATGGCGAAGGAGACGGCTGACGCCAACGACCATGCCCCAATAACCCATGCATATTCGGTGGTTCCGCCGAGGTCTTGGAAGACGTGCATAACTATTGCGGCAAAGCAGAGGAATGACAGTCCAATGGCAGGCGCGAAAGAGAACGACAGAAACTGTAGTTCACCAGTTAGCCATCACCGACACGGCCTTTGCTAGACAGAAAGATGCTCGAACAAAATGACACATACGCCAATGGCAGCCCATGTACCCGCAAATACCCTAACTCCTTCGGGATTAAAATCTAGTGCTGCACGGTGAGGATCTTCTTCCAGTGCGATGGTAGCTTGAATATCACGAATGCGTACAGATCTAGAGGCATTGGAATGGTTAGAAGACACCTCATGCTCTGGATCTGACGTCGCGTGCGCGTGCACTGCTTGATTCTGAGCTGACATTGCGACAATATGGTATGTGTGAGCTATCGAGAGGTGGTATTCGGACTTGGACGATAGAGGTTGGCAAGTTCTGGTATAGACAGAAATGTCGATCAGTATAGCTCGAAGTCTAGTGTCCGCTTCGACATCGAGCAAGGCTATGACCCGAGTTTTATATTCACGGCAGACAACAACGCCCTGGCAGGATTGTTCCCTAATCAAATGGGGCCCCATGGGGCTATTGACAAAGTGGTTCATCCCATAAATTGGCGAGGTGACGCCGTCGTGGGCGGGGAAGGCCTTTGGGAGGAGCTTCTCATTGCGGAGACTGCTGAATTGTTTAATGGCAACTACTTACAAACTATCGTCTCCTATACGGATGTGGGAGTCGGGAGAGGAGGCAGAGCCGCTTCCGCACGACGCAACAGTGTTTCCTATCTCCGATCGGCTTGGCCCCTGAACCTTACTGGAAAGTCCGACTTCTCATGTCGGGTAGAGCGGAGAAGGCTAGCCGCCACCAAACGAAGCGAGGAACAAGGTCCTGTCATCTGATCAGAACGTCAATGACTGGTTTGGAGACTCAGGTACCCTTCGTGTGGCTGCACTTTTGAGAACAGTAGTTTACTTTGGGCTTGAGTACGAGGTGAAACTCCTTCGATGATACAATATATTCTTTAGGAGTGAGACCTCGTGCAACATTGCTACATTGACGGGACAGCAAAATGGAATACAGTATCGTCCAAGGAAAAGGCGTCGGTGACATGACGACGAGGCTCGACCAGTCCCACCTTCATGGTACCTTCGTGGAAATGAAGTCCTTGAACGGGTTGGTGGTAATCCTGCTCACAATCTTCGCCGCTTATACATTGAACATGCTATACTTCCATCCTTTGCATCATGTGCCTGGACCCAAGTTGGCGGCAATTACCAACTGGTGGTCATACTACTATGAGTTGAGCAAGGCATTCCCGGAAAAGTGTGTTGAGTTAGCCGAGAAACACGCCAGCAGCGTCGTTCGCGTGGGTCCGAACAAAGTCGTCATCCACGATGTTTCGCAATACGACAAGATCTATCGCTCGGGGTCAGACTATGCGAAGGACCCAGACTTCTACCATCTATTCCCAAGCGCAAGTGAAGGAGGAACTGCGGTCACTGCCACGTCAGTAATGGCTCTCAGTCTTGCTTTTCATGGTTTTTCTTTCCGGACACCGACTAACCGCAAGTATAGTGACAAGCAAGTGCATAAAGAACGCCGAAAGCAGCTCGCTGCAAAACTGTCTCGCCAAAACATCACCTCAATTCAGGATCTGGTCAACGAGAAATTGTACAGCATAGTTGAGATTTTCGGCAAAGCAGCCACCAATGGCCGGATGGTCAATGTTTTTGCCGCATGGCGAAGCTTCACTCTCGACGTGATTTCAACTTTCGCATTTGGACAGTGCTTAGGCGCTCTCGACCGCGCGAACTTAGACCACCCAATGCTGGATACAATGAACATTGCTGTTGCTGCCTTTTATCATGTCAGTGACCCCAGTCCCACTGAGAGCTGACTCGGTCAAGGACTGAAACTTTTTGCTAATCGCGTGCAGTTTATACGACTTCCCTTGATTGCTCGAGTCACGTCAGCAAAGGCTTTCATTCCATATCTTTCTAGAATTAATAGTGACATGGCGGCGATGGCATCTTTCAAAAAGGTAGGCAATAACTCATTCTCAATCCAGAGTGCGTGAGCTCATAGTTGTGATATGAGAAGTGGGCACGGGAGTGCGTTGATGGGTACGTTCCTGACACCAAAGTCCGCTATCTTTTTGATGGTCTTTTCAACCCTCCGTCTGGTACTCGGAAGCTGTCCAAAGATGAGATCCAAAACGAGGCTGAAGACCTTCTCATTGCTGGGAGTGACACCACCGCGATAACCCTGACGGTCGCCCTGGTCCACCTTGCTCGTCAGCCCGATGTCTGGGAACAGCTCAATGAGGAGCTGCGGCACCTCATCCCTAATCCTGCCACCATTCCGAGCTGGGACACTCTTGAGACTATTCCGCTCCTCGCGGCCTGTTTAAAAGAATCTCTTCGAATGGCGAGTCCACTTCCTGGGTACCTCTGGCGCGTTGTTCCTGCAGAGGGCCTGGCCACTCCAAGCGGTCACTATCTGCCCCACGGAACAAAAGTCGGAATGAGCACGTGGGTCATGCATAATGACAAAGAAATCTTCCCAGATCCGCACGTGTTTAAACATTCACGCTGGCTGGATGGCGACTCCCCGGAGCTCTCGCGCTATCTAGTGCCTTTTTCAAAAGGCTCACGCCAGTGCGCGGGCATGAACATGGCATATATGGAGATGTGTATTGCCTTGGCAGTAACGTGTCGCCGCTTTGTCATCAAGCCCCCTCCGGGCGACGTACCCGAGATGAGACTTCTGGAGACCTTTGTCGGAGTTCTCCAGGTAAGTGTCGTGTTTGATTGACCGGTATTTTGTTCTCGGCATTTCTTTGATGGCCGAGGATGGACCTGTGAAGAAGGCACGCAGCTGACCACAGTATTTCTAGAGCGATCTATGTCCCATTATCTTTGAGAGACGTCAAGACTAAATAAGCACTGGTACTTTGGTCAATGAACGTTGGTCATGATTGTTCCTTAAACGCATTTATAGGTCTCGGTTATGTAAAAGTCCTTTAGAGAGTAGAGGACTCTTGGTGGGACTACGGGTCACCTTGTTCTGCTCTTTTATCATCTAGAGTTCTGAACAAAGAAAGCGGTCAATTGCGCGCCGCCACCCAGAGCGTGGCGACCATGACAATATTTTTGACTGTACTGTACCGTCTCGTAGGAAGAGTCAGATGTTACATATCCAATGCGAGCGACTAAACAAGTTGTGGAGGTCAAATCAGCCTGGGCTCAATTATGTCAAGTTAATGGGCCGCCACGGTCACAATTCTCGGATGAGGCGCGCAGTCTTGAAAACACTGCCGAAGACCTTGTCTGCTCCCCGCTCGGAAGAAGTCCATCACAAAGTAGCTTGGCTCGGCATCAATGTTTCCCCGCCGGCACTTGTTATTCTTCATCCCTGCCGGTACCCCCGAGCCTGTTTCATTGGTCCGCTCAAGTCGGAGCCTTTCCGAAGCCAGATGGTAGACTAGCCAAATAGCAGCGGTGGCGTCGAAAGCAGACTTTCCGAAGTACCTCGTCCGAAGACATTCTCCTCAGCTTCTGAGCCAGGTGCCAAGTATCAGGCCAACGGACAGCTCCATGGCAGGCCATTTCAAGGAAGCTTTAAAGCCCAAGGGACTCAATGGTTCAACTGGAGGTTCAACTGGATGTTCGAATCACCAAGACGAATGGCCACCGGCACCCGCACACTTCTCACTGGAGGATCCCCAAGTAGCAGGCTTTCATAGGCCAACGAGATTCGAGGGTGATATAGGCAATCTCGAAGTTTTTGGGGAAATCCCAAAGGGAATCAATGGCACATTCTACCGGGTGATGCCTGAGCCTCAATTTCCCTCCTTCACTGGAAATGATGTGGTACGTTCTATTTGGACCTTGGCATTTGTCTGGGATGCCTGATCAATCACTTACCGAGGTTAGTGGTTTAACGGCGACGGTAACATCAGCGCATTTCGCATCTCTAACGGCCACGTTGATTTTAAGCAACGCTATGTTCGGACCGAGAAGTTTGTACGAGAAGCAAAGGCAAGGAGAGCTCTTCTAGGTTGGCCTTTACCCTCGTAAGAGATGGAAATAACCTGAGGGCTAACCCCGCATACAGGAAAGTATAGAAACAGATATACAGATTTGGTCGACTTCAAAGTCCGGTCGACGGCTAATACCAACATTGTATTTTGGAACGGTAAACTCCTAGCGCTCAAGGAAGACTCACCTCCCTATGCAATGGATCCCGATACCCTCGAGACCCTCGGTCTGTATGACTTTGACGGGCAATTGCCTTGTCTAACTTTCACGGCCCATCCGAAGTTTGACCCAGTCAGTCGTGAGATGGTGTGCTTTGGCTATGAGGCTCAGGGGGACGCAACGAACGACATCTGTTACTATACCTTCGACAAGGATGGGAAATTGGGAGAGCTAGTGTGGCTCGTCTCTCCCATTTGTGGCATGATCCATGACTTCGCCGTCACGGAAAACTACGTAAGACTGGCGTTTTCTTTCCCTTTGCCTTCCCAATGTCGTCCTAACAGAATATTCATAGGTCCTCTTTCCCATTATTTCCCTCACATGCGACCTGGAACGCCTCAAGAATGGTGGAGAGCACTGGCAATGGGACTACAGTATCCCCATGTACATTGGAGTCCTGCCTCGGAGACAAGCCAAGGGAAGTGATGTCAAGGTAAACCATCTTCAGCCCTCGGCTCAGCTTGGAGGGGCCCGTGGCGAATAAACAGTCGCTAACTCTGTCAGTGGTTTCGTGCACCTCCTGGTTTCGCCGGACACACAGCCAACGCGTTCGAAGAGCACGGTAAGATTCACCTTCACATGACATATGCACCCGACAATGTCTTCTTCTGGTGGCCAGACAAGAACGGGAAGGGCCCGAGGCCTGGGGAGACCGAATCGCTCCTATGCAAGTTTGAGATTGACTACAGGAGCGACAACCTGGAGCTCGGCATGCCCGAGTATTTCATCAAGGAGGAAGAAACCGAATTCCCCAGAATCGACGATCGCTTAGCCATGGCTCGCCATTCGCGAATCTTTGTTTGCGTCATGGATAAGACGGCCGGCACGGATTTTCCGTTTATCCTTCCTCGTATGGGAGGTAAGTAAGATCCATCGGATCTGATCACCTCCATCAAGCCCTCTTGGGTGTTACATGGTCGACTGCTGATCAATGATGCTTGATTGTAGCTGGGTATCCGTTGTTCAACGGCCTTGCTTCCTTCGATGTCGATACTAAAGAGTACAAAAAGTATTTCGCGGGTCCTCGGAAGTTCTGTCAAGAATGCGTCTTCGTGCCGCGTAGTCCCAACGCTCTCGAGGGAGACGGCTACCTGATTGCACTGCTGAACAACTATGACGAAATGTGCAGTGAAATGGTAATTATGGATACAAGAACAATGGCCCAGATTGCTCTGATAAAGTTGCCTGTTCGTCTCCGGGCGGGACTCCATGGAAACTGGGTGGATAGCAGCGATATTGATGGCCATCCACAGGCAATTCCAGTAGCAGAATGAAGGATGTGTAAACGAAACGATGTGGACTGATGCTGGCAGACGGGCAATTTTTCGTCGCGGCGTCGAGAAAAAGCCCAACTAGCCTTATCCGTACAGGAACTCAAAGTTGGAGCTGAAGAGGCCTTCAAACAGATTGAGGTCTGTGTCTGTAACACCCGGCCCATGGCCTAGAGTGAAAGAGCCGGAATCCTTCGGAGGTAGCCAGCTCAGATCGATGTCTCCGCTAGAGGTACAGCTCGACGTTAATTGGTCGACTTCAATTTGCTCTCTCTTGTTACTGCCGTCTTCAGTAATGGATGCTTGGGCGATTGAGTAGTATATTTTAAGCAAGCGTTGTAGACATTCGCGACACTGTTTGATCATTGGACTGCCTCCGTCAAGTTGAGCCAATAGTGTAACAGCGTCATTCAGACTAGAATGGAGAGACGTGGTGGCTTTGAGCGAGAGCAATTCATTGAAGGACGGTTCCATTGAGGCCAGGAGGACGCCCAAGATCATGAGGGAGGCATTGAAAGCTTGGTTCATTAGCCCGGGCTTAGGAGAGGCAAGGATTGAACAAACTCACTGTAATAGGTCGTGAACCACCATGCTCCCAGTAAATTCGTTTGCCTATTGATCTCTTTGACGATGCTTGTTCCCACTTGAATTGCGTCTCTACAAGTATCCATACAGCTTCTCAAAGAAAGAAAGCCTGTCCCTTTGAGCAGAGTCAGCTCCAGGCTGGTTGAATCACTATTGAAATCCCAAAGCTTCTGTAATATTGGGCGATGAAGAAGGATACAGGCACCAGAGTATCGAAAGGACAGGGCCACTTGGAGTCTGCGTGTCTCGAGAGGCTGGTGTCTAGTGTACTGCTTCTCAAGTCCTTCGCCGGGACGCAGAGCTCGAGGCACATTCCCATGCCACTCGGAAAGTTTGTATGAGAGATTAAAGGTTTCCGTCAACGTCTCAGCGCAGCTTAGGGGTGGAGGGGATCCGACATTATCATAGTATAGTCTCTTCGTGATGTCGCGTATGATGAATGACAGTGATCTGTTCAGCGTGAGATCAGCTCGTGGTGCTATATTTCCGGGGAACGGTGAAGAGTCATTTACAACATAGCCCGGTAATAGGACAGGCTCGTAGCCATCACCGAGGGGCTCCTGGCAACGGACGGAGGTAAATCGGTGATCTTGCTTGGGGTGCTCGCCTTCCACAAGGACTCTGCCACTAAGGGTGGTCGACCAAACTTGACACTAAATATCCTAGACCCCAAAAATTAGTTTAGGGTAGACGAATAAGGCGAGAATGGGAGGTCACCCACGCATCGTTTATGAGACACATATACCAAGTTCGTCTCCGCATCTCTTGGTCCAAAGGCGTTAGATGAGAGCAAGACTCAGTGGAGCACAGATCGAGCTGCAGGGCGGACTTAACAGCCAGGCCGTGGAATGTCCATACACGCGAAGAGTGCGATGAGCCTTGCAGGTACGCACAAATCGAACAGAAGAGTTGGACTGCATGATGTTAAGTTATTAGAACACTGGGACTGATTAGGCAGATGTAGGGCGTATCATACCATGTTCCAGGCTAGTCGGGCCCAAGATGACTTCCGGCACCGCCAAAGCCAAGGCATTTTGGAAGAAGTTTTCGGAACGTTCAGCTGACTCTGTGCTAGGGGACATTGCTGTCTGAGTTAGGTAGACGTGGGCCAAAATCATGTAAAGCAAGGACAGCCATGATTTTCGAACGTTCCTGAAACATTGCGTACGCCCTCGCTCGAAAACAGCAATGAATGATTCTTCATGCAAGAAGGGCATGAACAGCGCCACGGTTGCAAAGTACTCCTGTATTATGTCCATGGCATCCGGTGGAATATCAAGGATAGTAGCTTGGCAAGATTTCGGCCAGGATAGGGCGCCGGAAAGGCCCGGTTCAGGCCCAGGAACGTTCGAAGACGTAGCAGAAGACGGACAACGATGATAAGGTTTTAGCAGATCTCTTGAGTTACCGCAACCAGCCGAATTGGCCAGAGCCTGGGTGATGCGGAGCAGGAAAGCGATGTTGGACGATGCCCCGAAGTGTGCAGAATCATCCTGGCTGTCGCTTGAGCGAATAGTCCCAATACCGTCCACGGAGTCTTCGAAGACGTCGCAAGGAGGCATGTCCTCTTGCGGACTTATAGAGGGCCCGGTAGACGGATTATGCGGTAAATGACACCTGTGCATGGATGAAGGCTCGATAGGAAGCTGAGGTGGGTTGCGTGTGTAAGTCCACTGGACATGTTCTAGCTTTTCCTCAATGGCTTTCAGCCGGTCCAGGACTTGAAATTTTTCCCTGAACGCCAGTTAGGTCTTGGAATCCCTGGGGAGAATAGGAGCGTGGTGTCTTGGTCACGTACCCGGACGAGGAGTTTGACTTGCGAA